ACTTCACTGTATAATTCTTAAGGCACATCTCTTTCTGTTAAAACTGATGGTAAAAAAATATTATCCCCATATACATGTCTATCATAAGGCCAAATTCCTGTCACGCGAAGTCCTGACATAATATTTGTTGGCGTGGAAGATTTTTCCCTTGTCAAATGAGAATGGACATCTTATAAATTGTAATGGCTTTTCCTGGATTGCTAAGCATCCAGCTATTGGCAGCTGCATTAAAATATGTTTTCATTGGACCAAAAACGGACCTATCTAAAGGTTGTTTAAATAAAGTATGTGGCGGCAAAGTCATCATACAAACATGGTTCTCTTTCGCATATTCAAGTGACTGTATTGAACTGTGGATTTCATGATTATCCATAATCAATAAAACTTTGTGATCGGCTGTTGAACGAGCAAATTTAACAAAATGCTTTAAAACATCTATAAAGATTTCAGCATTCATCCAACTAGATTGATTGGCTAATCCTATAGAACCTACTGATGCTCCTCTCATTAGTGGGTTTCTAAATAATTTTCTTGGAAAAACAATAACAGGGAGTACTGCTTCACCAGCTGCAGAGACAATGCAACACACTGTTACTAATTCACTTTTTTCTCTAGATGTTATTTGCCCAATTTTCTTTGTTCCCTTTGATGCAATGATACGAGGAGTTTTCTGCACAGTAGTAAAACCTGTCTCATCAAAATTAAAAATTTTAAATGATGTTGCTTTAGGTTTACCTCTGATATACCTTCTTGTAATTTGTTAAAGAAAATATTAATAATATGTCAATTAAATGCTGATGCTCTTGCAATTAAAGTTGCCTCTGGTTTTCTAACAGATAGTTTTGGGTTTCTTTTTAAAAACCCTGTTAACCAATCTCGACCAGCCTTTTTTTGTTCTACCCAACGCATAGGACGTTTTATTTTGTTTGCTTAAGCCATTTCAAAATGGCTTAAGCAAACAAAAGCTAGAGCTTTTGTTTGCCTAAGCAAACAAGAGTTTGCTTAGTTAAAGAAAGTAAAAGCTCTAGCTCTTGTTTGCTTTAAGCAAACAAGAGCTAGAGCTCTTACTTGAAATGGTATAAGGCTATATAACATGTCTTTAGATAAGTGCTCAGTGTTTGTTCTTGTGCAACAGAAAAAATCATAGAATGTTGGTAATTTGGTTGAAGATTAGTAGCTGGGTATTGACACTTTTTTTTAATACACCTACGAAGTGCAAACTTAGAAATGCCAGCTGAATATGCTGCTTCTTTAAGGCTCATCTCATTTTTCAAATCAGCTACTGCAAATTTCAAAATGTTTTCTGAAAAATGTGGAGTTTCACTTTTTCTTTTATAAACTCTATGATCTGAAATTAAAAAAAAAAATAGGTTTGTTAAAAAAAATATTTATTTATATTAGTATTAAGGTTACTGTTAATACTATATCTTATATCAGACTATTACGAAATTATTTAAGATTGAAAAAACTTTTTTGCATGCCTTTTGCTTTTGACCTCTCAATTTACTCCAAACAATAATAATTAATCAAATCAAATTTATCTTTAATAAAGATCTCTCTTTACAAATTTTGTTTTTAATCAACTTTATAACAACTAAAGCTAAAATTAAATATTTCAATTGAACGTATTAATATTTTTATTTTGAAAGACCAAAAAATGCTAGCGCCACCCCTGGTTATAGGTATAGCTCAAAACCAAAATTTGGCTCTGATCAAATAAGCAACGTGGGTTAGAAAGAAGACATTAACTTCAAAGTTAAATAAAGTTCACAATGCAATTGTTACTGCCAATTTGTAATAGTCTTGATTAGGGTTAGGACTATTGTAATTGCATTGAAAACAGAAACATTAACTATTATTATTGTATTAACTTTTTTAGAAAAAATACTTTTGATTTACTATTACTTTAATACTGTAATGCAATAACAATAAATATTGTATTGCAATTCATCTTTAAAATACAATAACAAAATCTGAAAAAATGTATTGTAATGAACCACTACAATAACAATAAATATTGTATTGTAATTCGTCTTTATGATATAATAATAATATAATGTTATTGTAAAAAAAAAAAATTATTTTAATGTCAAAATTTAATAAACGTTCTAACAATCCAGTCTCCGAGATATGTGACCTTGAAATAGGGTAAAACTAACATTTTCGCGTCACGGTAAGGAAGGAGGCGTGAACTTTTTGGGTAAATGTATATATATATATATATATATATATATATATATATATATATATATATATACATATATACATATATATATATATATATATATATATATATTTATATATATATATATATATATATATATATATATATATATATATATATATATATATATATATATATATATATATATATATATATATATATATATATATATATATATATATATATATATATATATATGTATATATATATATATATATTTATATATATGTATATATATATATATATATATATATATATATATATATATATATATACATATATATATATAATATATATATATATATATATTTTTACTTATATGTACTTTTATAGCTGTGTGTTTCATAAAGTAACTAGACATCTAGTTGCAAAGTTATACAAGAATTTTGTTACATATATCAAGAACAACACTTATTTTGTATTCTAAACGGCCTCATTTTTCATAAATGATCTCTCCGAAATTTACTGGTATGGTCTCGTAGGTGATGAACAACCTAAAAATGTAGAAAATATTTTTTGTAAAACAAAGGTACTAAACATTTTTAGACAATCTAATCAATAATTACCCAGGACAATGGTTCTGAATGCATAACGCTGTAATTTATTACACATTAGCAATTAATTATATTGAAAAAATAAATTACTTTCACGCAATTTATACTTCTATGGCTTTCTTGGTTTCACTTCACTTCTCAAAATAAATAAAATTTATATATATAAACGACTGCTAAAAACGAGCGTCACAAGCACCCCTGAATTTTCTAGTGCCCAAATAATAATAAATGCGTGGAAAAAGAACCTAAATACTATAAAATACCATAGCTATTGGACTTTGAAATAGTAATACAATACAATACACCAAAGTACTTATTGTAATTGTTTTTTATCCCAGCAATACAATACAATAGTTATTGTAATTGTTTTACATCACAGCAATACAATACAATAGTTTTAGAACTTCAATGTATTGTTAGAAAAAAAACAATACAATTGTTATTGTAACTGTTATTGTTTTAAATCACAGCTATACAATAACCATAAATAATTCCGCAGAATTAATTGAACGGTAGTAATGATCTTAACCTCATTAGAGATCTTATTTACCATTTTTTCCTACATTGTTTGAGTGTTATATGTGCATGTAGCATAACAAAGTGAATATATCAAAAGTTTGCCCTTTTAAATATTTTGGCTCCTATAATATTAAAGTTTAAATTTTATTTTCTATTTGTTGCTTTTTAACTTCCTATTTATTTATTTATTTAAAACTTTATTTTCAGTTGATTGTTTACAATAGTTTTATAATCAACAAAAACTAATAAAAATCAACACACTAAACTGTCTAAGACAATACAAACAAACATACATATCGTGAATAAAAAATAAATAAAATAAAAATAGCTTACCCCAGTGGGCACACGACGGAAAAAAGACGTCTTATGTACGTTCAGTTCACGTCCGCTCGACTTATTCACAATATGAACTATAATAAGACGTCTTACGAACGTCTTTTTCTCGTCCGTTCCGAAAATAAGAAAATTTATCACTTTCAGTTTTGAAAAAACTTTTTATTAAGTCTAATGACGCAAATGTCATTATTAAAATTATTAAAAGGTGTTTTAATAATGACGATTCTCGTATGAAGAGGTCACAATTACTTATTAGATAATTGTTAGATAACATATGTGTTTTATATTTATATATGTATAAAGATAAATAAAATATACAAAGATTGTTTATATAGTAAAGAAAAACTATATATAACTTTATATGACATATATATGTCGCGACACAATTTTTTTACTTTATATGTCATTAAATTTTCTTTATTTTTATATATTTTATATTTTTACGTCATATTAGATATATATAAAAATAATGAAATTTAGATTGATTAACTAATTTTTTTATTATATTACTGTATGAGTATAAAATCCTATTTTATTTATTGTCATTTGTATTTTAAGTATTATAGTTTTTTTTTTAAACGTAATACTTAAAATATGAATGTCAGGAAATTAAATTATAAAATTAAGATTTTATACTCATACAGTAATAATATAATAAAAAACAGTCAATTAATCTAAGTTTTCATTATTTTTATATATATGTAATTTTATTTTCTTTGAAGTTAACTGTCAATAACCTAATCCCTGTTACTATATTATAGATGCATGTAACTATATTATATATCATAATATAAAAAATATATATGACAATAATATTTTTTATATTATGTATTTTTAATAATATTTTTCGATTATTACTAATAATAATCGAAAGTACTTTGAGTTACAGGAAAGTTCGAGTTATCTGAGGTTTGAGATATTGGGAGTTTACTGTATTCTTATGATTATTATTTTTACATTCCATCTACATAGAATTTTGAATTTAATGCTGAAAGTTGCACTTTTTTATATAAATATATTTTTTAAATTTTAATTTATTATACTTTTGCAACATTTAATAAAAATACGTATGATAAAGCTTTATTAATATATCAATGATTTAACATTTAGTGCACAAACAAATTGAATAATACATTTAATAATGTTAGAATATGATTGTTTTATATTTTAATGGTGAAAAAATCAAAATTTTACATGATATTTTTAGTAGTAAATTTTATAAGGACTTCTTGAAAAAATAATGACAAAATTGATAGTTTTTTGTAACTTCAAATGTTATAACTTTTCCAATTTTTATCAAAATGTATACAATTTGGTATAAACACAAAGATGTGAAAAAGACAAGGCCCCTACAACACCCAGTAATATGTTACGAATGTATATTTGTTAATGAAAGTTTTGTGTTTTTTATTGAAATTTTGGATTTTTATTTGCAATTTTTTATATTTTAACAGACGATCATTAAATATGATAGATAAACAAGTAGAAAAGAATATAGTAATACATAATACTCTCCTCATATGTAATACTCTCCTTAAACGTAAATCAAATTGTTTAAATCGGATATGATGATTAAATGTTGTATCGGCATGGTTTTATCTGTCTACTTTGCTTTTTCAATTTGGTTGCCAGCTTCAACCTAATTCTTGATTTAGACCTATGATTTTGAACTAAAACATTTCCGTGTTGAATAGAATACTATTTATTCTTAACTGTATTTTTTTTTGAGGCTTCAGTTATCAAATGTTGGTGGTAATTTTAGTTATGCCACTGTGAAAGCGTTGATTGTTAAGTATGTGTTATGTATGTTGCTACTGCTACTGGTAACATGTAACCCAGTGCAACCTGTTCCATGTTCTGCTGCCTTGCAGGATTTGCTATCTAAGCAAAGGCTGGAAGGAGTGTTCTTCCTGTCATCAGTACTATCTTAAATCAGCCTATAGTAATTTTTTTTTTTTTTTTTTTTTTTTTTCTCCATATAGTTGGAGGTGCCTTAGTTACTGTATTAGCTCACCTGTAATCTACGTTATATGTATGTTTGTGTTCTGTCTGAACCTCAGGCGCGGTGTTCGCTCACCCGTAAGTTACTTTATGTTCTTTATGTATGTCTGTGTTCTGTCTGAACCTCTGGCGCGGTGTTCGCTCACCCGTAAGTTACTTTATGTTTATGTTTATGTTTTTTATGTTTTTTTATGTATGTTTGTGTTCTGTCTGAACCTCTGGCGCGGTGTTCGCTCACCCGTAAGTTACTTTATGTTTTTTATGTATGTTTGTGTTCTGTCTGAACCTCTGGCGCAGTGTTGACTCACCCGTAAGTTGATTTATGTTTGTTTGTGTTCTGTTTATACTCTAATGCAGCGTGAGCTCAGTAACTAACTACTTACTCCAACTACAAAACGTACACTCACCTTAGACTCCTGTATTTTGTTAGATGCAGTATTTTTCCTAATGCACTTCCAAAATGTCATGCCTGGTTTTCTCAAAATACTGTTGCGGGAAGTAACTCCTTTTAACTACTCAAAGTCAGGTCAGGATAATCGAGATCAATCTTGCTACTGGTATCACGTAACCCAGTACCACCTGCCACAATCCCTGCTGCCTTGCAGAGTGTGCTCTTCTTATGCAAAGGCTAGGAGAAATAAACTCCGACTAAAAATTCCCCTGCCTTGGGGCTCTTGGTTGAGTAAAGGCTAGAGATGGTGTCTGGATAAAAACACTCATCTTGGGCAGATGTTAACTGCATCCAGCTAAACATCCCCTGCCTTGGGGCTCTTGGTTGAGTAAAGGCTAGAGATGGTGTCTCGATAAAAATACTCATCTTGGGCAGATGTTAACTGCATCCTGCTACTGTCTTGTAGAAGGCCTCCTAGGCAAAGACTTTAGGGGTAAGCAGAAAAATTCTGCTAACAAGCCTCGAACCCTTTCTTCATCTATTAGGCTGGCGTAGATGTAACCTGTGTTACATTGTTTCCTGCCTAGGATGATGAATGCTGGATCTCCTTGACTCTACTCATAGAATTTTGCTTAAGCCTCCTTGACAATGGCTATGCAGCTCTTCCTGTTATCTCCATATGAGGGTACAGCTCTAAAACTCAGTTTAATGGTTCTGAGGCCGGCTGGTAGTAAGGTTTCCCGAACTCTGTGGTAGCTCTCAGAGAGGCTGATTCCATCAACAGCTGCAAAATATTAGAGTATTAACAGTGCCATGTTGCGCATGGAAGGTGTCCCTGTTAATGCTTTTGGTGTGCATTGTCAAGGCCACATAAGGAGCCCTATGTCACGGCTTAGGGTTAATTAACAGGACTAAGACAACTGCATAGCTCATTGATTAGCAGGCTGTGCTCTATCTATGAATGAGTCAAGTTCTCATTAAACCCAAATCATGACCAAAGTAAGCAAAAATTTAAAACCTAAAAAACCATCCCCACTACCTAAATATTTTAATATATCTTTTACAAATATTCGCGGTCTACGAAGCAACTTTCCATCAGTTGAGTCTTACCTCCTGCAAAATTCACCAGACTTGCTTGCACTCAGTGAAACAAATTTAGGTTCTGCAATTCCTTCTTCAGATGTCAGTGTTGATGGGTACTATCCTTTGATTCGTAAAGACTCCAATAGTCACATGCTAGGTTTAGGGGTATACATACGCATTAATTCCCCTATTTGTCGAGAAATCAGGTTCGAATCCTTTGACCATTCTTTTATGTGCTTTCCCCTAGCACCTCTTCACTCTATCACCTTTCTCTTTGTTCTTTATCGTTCTCCTTCTTCCCATGATTGCACTCTTTTAGATGTTATCTCTGATCAAATTGACCATGCCCTCTTTCTTTACCCCTCTGCCAATATTGTTGTTGTTGGTGATTTTAATGCCCATCACACTGAATGGCTTGGCTATAATACCACTGGTCCTGCTGGCACTAAAGCCTTTAACTTCTGCGTTTCTCAATCTCTTACTCAGATAGTTAACTTTGTGACTCGTTTTCCTTACAACCCTAATCATTTACCTTCACTCCATGACTTATGTCTTGTCTCTGACCCTAGCTTATGTTCAGTTTCTCCCTTTTCTCCCTTAGGTGGTTCTGACCATGCAATAATCTCTATAAATCTTTCTTCTCGTACTTCTTTTTTGGGCTCACCTTATCATCGCACCACCTACTACTACCCTAAAGCTGATTGGGATTCCTTTCGTGATTTTCTTTGTGATGGTCCTTGGGCTGATGTTTTTTCTCTCTCAGCTGACAAATGCGCCTCCTACGTAACCTCCTGGATTCAGGCTGGAATGGAAGCTTTTATTCCTTCTCGTCGGTTTCAAGTCAAGCCTCACTCTACTCCATGGTTTTCTCCTTCTTGTGCGGCTGCTATATCCAATCGTAACCATTTTTTTCATCTTTTTCAAAAGAACAACTCTCTTGAGAACAAACGGCTATTTATTATTGCAAGAAATCGATGTAAAAAGGTGCTTTCTGATGCTAAATTCCATTATTCTCAGTTCACTAAATCTCGCATCTTATCGCAGAAGTTAGGCTCTAAAGACTTTTGGAAAATCTTCAACAGCATTGTTAACAAGGGTAGATCTAACATTCCATCTCTCATTCATGGGACTGATCTTGTTACCTCTCCCAGGGATAAGGCAGAACTGTTTGCAAAGAACTTTTCTTCTAATTCCATTCTTGAATCTTATGGACATTCTCTTCCTTCCATTCCAGTCAATAAGGTTGACCCATTGTTAGACATTAAAATCACTCCGGCGTCTGTTGCTAAAGTCATATCTCAATTAAACTCGTCTACAGCTTGTGGTCCAGACAACATTCCTGTCACAGTCTTGCAGAATTGTTCTCCAGAACTTTCTTCAATTCTCTCTAAACTATTTAACAAGTGTTTGACTGAGTCTTGTTTTCCTGCTTGTAGGAAAATGGCATCCGTGGTTCCAATATTCAAAAACTCTGGAGAAAATTCTGACCCCTCCAATTATTGTCTGATCAGTCTTCTTTCTGTTATTAGCAAGGTCTTTGAGTCTTTGATCAACAAATTCCTCACATCTCATCTTGAGTCAAATAAACTGCTGTCAGACAATCAATACGGTTTTCGATCCTCTCGCTCTACGGCCGACTTGTTAACTGCTGTAACTGAAAGATTTTATCATGCATTAGATGGAGGCGTTGAGGCTAGGGCTATTGCTCTCGACATATCTAAAGCTTTCGACAAAGTTTGGCATGCTGGTCTTCTCCATAAGCTTGCTTCATATGGTGTTTCTGGGAAAGTTTTTGAGATTATCAAATCATTTCTTTCTAACCGGTTTATTAAAGTCATCCTTGAAGGCCAACACTCTTCTTTATTTCCAGTAACTTCTGGGGTTCCCCAAGGTTCCATCCTGGGCCCTGTTTTGTTTCTTATCTACATAAACGATCTTCCTGACAACCTTTCATCTAAAGTAGCTCTTTTTGCTGATGACTGAACTTTATACTCCTGTCTTGACAAAAAAGTCTTCTCTTTTCGATCGCCTAGAACAAGCAGCTGATCTTGAATCTGATCTTACTTTAGTAATAGATTGGGGTTCACAGTGGCTTGTGAATTTTAACTCTCAAAAAACCCAATTGCTTACTGCAAACAACTACCGTAATATGATCAACATTCCTATATTAATGAATGGCAATCCTCTTACTGAGTCGTCCTCTTTACGTCTTCTCGGATTACTGCTTACTACTGACCTTTCATGGAAACCATATATACAATCGATTGCTAAATTAGCTTCTGCTAAGGTTGCTTCTCTTTATCGTGCTCGCCATTTCCTTACTTCTGATTCTATTCTCTACCTCTACAAATCTCTTATTCGTCCCTGTATGGAATACTGTTGTCATATTTGGGCTGGTTCTTCTAACGATTCACTTTCTCTTCTTGACAAGGTCCAAAGACGCATTGTAAATGTTGTTGGACCTGGACTATCTGCTAAGCTTGAACCTCTTTCCCATCGTCGTAAAGTTGCATCTCTTTCTCTTTTCTGCATATACTATCATGGTCACTGCTCAAAGGAGTTATCATCTCTTGTTCCATCAACTAAAATTAATTCTCGTTTTACTCGTCATTCAGCTAAGTCTCATTCGTTTACTGTATCTGTCCCTGCATGCTCTAAAAACTTTTATTCATCTAGTTTTTTTCCCCGCACTTCAATCCTTTGGAACTCTCTCCCATCTTCATGTTTTCCTGACTCATACAACCTTCAACTTTTCAAGTCTTCTGTCAACCGTTTCTTTGCTCTAAAACTCTGTTCTTTTTTTTTCCTAGTAACTCCCAACTTAATAGTAGTTGCTTGCAGCCTTGTTGGGAGTGAATGCAAATAAAAAAAAAAAAAAAAAAAAAAAATGCTGCAAATTGTACATCATAACTTTTGAATACTAATATGAACTCATTTCCCTCATATTCAGATATAGGAGAGCAAAGTTTTTTGGTTAATTTAATTTTCAAGCACCTATGTATTATTTATAACAAATAATAGATTATAATTTATTTTTTTCATTGTCATTCCAGGTAGACATAAAAAGTTTGAAGTATGCACAAAGCCTGAAAGTGTCAAATATGGAACCTAAAAAAACCTGCCTATGCCACTGACTGTATAAAGGTTTTTTAAGGTAAGAACTTAATTAAATTAACAGAAAAAAAATATTATAAGTTATACATTTTTATACTAAAATAGAATAAAAATATATATTTGTAGTTTCAGTTTTTATTGTCACAAATATTAAATATTTGTGACACAGAATACAGACATTGATGTCTGTCTTCTTTAATATCATTAATGCTTTATCTACTGTTTTCTTTTTGTGCATGACCTAATTTCTATTCATATCCATATTTTTTTAGGTCTGTTTGTCAAGCGTCAAGTTAGGTTATCTTGCTACTGGTACCATGTAGTACATCCTGCTTAAGCAGGTTGTACGCCATCCATACGACGTTTGGGCATCTGTTTGTAAAATATTGCTGCAAATCTTTTTGAGAGAGCCATTACTATGGAGAACCATCTAAACAATACAAGTGTGGAAACACGGGTGTAAATCATAAACACATTTTTGATATATAATTGTAGAATGTTATATGTTATAAGTTTGGAAATTATATTCTGCAAAAAAATATTTTTTAAATGTATTTTAGCAGAACATACCTGGCCCGCATTTGATCCTGAAAAACGTTCTTTTTGGACCAAATGCTGGCTGGGTAATTTGGACTTGTAAATGAACTTATTTTCATAATTTTAAAACTGCTTATGATCTGATCTGATTTTATTTTTGTCCTTTGTTTATTTAGATTAATGTGAAATAAACTGATGAGTTTATTTAGCTTAGCTGGTAAAAAAAAGAGTTTTCGTGAAACAAATTTAATGAAGACAATTATAGGTATACCTGTTAATGTAATATATTTTGTATTGTATTTTGTATGCTTAGTTTTGACGAATTTTAAAATACTGCAAACTCACACTCGCACAAAAATTAACTGTGAACTCTTATTTAATCAGTTGCAAAAGTTGACTTTGAAAATTTTGTATAAGATATTATAGCTTATTTATTAGACTGTGTTTTTAGAATGAAGTTCATTCATTTGCTGGCAACATTTTTAAACGAGGTCCAGATTGAAAAAATTTGGTGCTAGAAATTGTCGATTGTAAAGTGATAGATGCATCGAACCTAATTTGTAATTAATTTCTGTAAATAATTTTCACTATACTAATTTTTGTGTTGAATTCTTATTTTTCTAATGGTATTTGAAATTATTAAGTCTAAAAATTAACGTATAAAAAAATACGCACCAAATAAGACCTATTTATGGCATTCCATACCTAATGTTTTTTTATTTTTTCTAAACTGTAACTTAAACTAAACTAAATTTCTTAGTCCTATCGGGACGTCTTTTTTATGTTCCTCGTAAGGCGTCTTTTTTACGTTCCTCTCAAAACGTCTTTTTCATGTTCCTTCTGGGACGCCTTTAAAACGTTCCACGCAGGACTTCTTTCTGTATTTCCAAATCCAACCAATTTAAGACGTCCGATCGGGACGTCTTAAAGACGTCCTAAAGCCGTCCGCGTGCCCACTGGGACATAAAAATAGCTTACATAGTAAATAAAAATAGCTTACATAGAAAATAATATAAACCTCAATAAATACAACTAGTAGGTTATTTTCGACGTAAAAATAAAAAATAAAAAAAGTTATTTTTGACAGATTTTACAAAAACAAGATTTTCCGTTCCATTTTAAAATACTTTTTTTGAACATCTTTAGACAATTTATTGACATAGTTTCATTGTCGAGGGAGTTCCGTAGCGAGGTATAAGTTACTTTTTATGAACTTATGTTTAGAGACTATGGTTAGAAGTACTCATTTTTTACTACATCGAAGACTTAACGGCAGGGATTTTTTGATAAAAAGATCTAACATAAAATCTGGATTTAATCCATTTATAGATTTAAAAACTTCAGTTAAAAAAACCTTAAATTCCTAAGGTGAATACTTGAAATGTTTTCAATTTTTTGAATTTCTTCTAATGGGAGATCAAATCTTTTATAGACAATGCGAAGTCCTTTTTCATGAATTTTATTAATTAGGTTAATATTATACTTCGAACAAAACATCCAAATCAAAGGACAATAGGAAAAATTTGACAGTACAAAAGCATCGAATAAAACAGTAGCTTGTTTTACTGATAAAAAGCTCCTTATTTGTGCAAAAGCGAAGCATTTACCATTCGCTTTTCCACACATGATCATCAAATATAAAATCCTTATCAATTGTTACCCCGAGAAGTTTAACTTTAGAGGAAACCATGATTTTTACATTTCCAACCATTAAAAATTGACCTTTACAATTTTTTAACCCAGCTAAAAAAAATTTTATTCAAAGTAAAGGCCGTTTTCCACAAGACGAAATATTCGCGCGAAGCGAATTTTTTCGTCGATAAGCATGCGCAGATAAAACATTTCTTGCAATAATTGGCAATAATTGCTAGAAATGTTTTATCTGCGCATGCTTATCGACGAAAAAATTCGCTTCGCGCAAATATTTCGTCTTGTGGAAAACGGCCTTAAACCATGAAATCGCGTTTGATGTTTCTATTTAAAGACGAGCAATAACACTCTCTAAATCTTTATCACAAACAGAAAGAGTGTTGTCATCGGCATAGTTGCAGATTTCAGAGTCTTTTATAAATAAAAAAAATTCCATATCTGGTGTACCTCAATTCTAAATTTCATATCTAAATATTTCTGAATATTTAGATATGAAATTTACAATTATAATAATGGAAATTTCTTCATTACTTTTACTGAAACTATTTTTATTTTCTTTGATATTGCAACAAAATTTAATCAGAATAAAAAATAAATAATAATAACAAATACTGTTAGCGTTATCTGGATTATATTTTGAAAATGCAAAAACTATGTAACGTAAAACATCCGTAATAAATTTTGCCTTGAATTCGACTTAATTTTGCGTTGAGCTAATTTGTTTGAAACATTTTTTAATTATTGTATAGGTAATGAATGAAAAGGTAAAAAAATATTTATATCTTAGAATGTGTATATTTAAACTTGTGTTATCGGAAAACCTTTAATAAATCCATAAAAACAGAAGATCTTAAATTTGTAAATCTTTAAAACAATGTTATTTAAAATATATAAATGTTATAAAATTTATTACATGTTATAAATTATGAGAGCATCTAAATCAAAATGCATAAGTTGTTTCGGGACTTATTTATAAGACTGCACGACTACAATATCGGATATATAAATTTTTAATCAGAAATCAGAACATCTATTTGCACCCATTACTAATAATTTATTTAAAAAAAACTATACCTATGTCACAATCTGTGCATAAAATGATAGTTATAGTGCTTCTTATATAAGGTATTTTAAGTATCCTCTTATAGATTCTTTGTCCGAGAGTACTAAAACATCTATTAGACTACTAAAATTAGGCTAGTAAAACATCAATTAGAATCATAGCATTCTCTACTACAAGCTTATTTATCGTGCAAACTGGTGATGATTTAATCTAAATTTTATAAATAACATATTTACAAAATTTAGATTAAATCATCATGCCTAATAAATGTTGTGTGCATGCTTGTCACACTAACTATCAAAGTGAAATAAACATATTATCTAGTGTAGTTAAAAAACTATCAGTGTATCGGTTTTCAAGTGATAAAGTTAAAAAATGGATAAAAGCTATTTCAAACTCTAATTTGGTTTTTACAAAGTACACTGCTATCTGTGAGATACACTGGCCTCCAGTTATTGATACAGCTATAGTGCATGGAGGAAAACGTCGACTATAAAAATGCTTTTTTCTGTTTTTATGCTTGATTATGTTGTTATACAATCTTCTCAAATTTTTAAGAGAATACTTATTTTGTTCTTAAAACTTATGAAAATCTAACCTTCGAAAAATTGTATGGCTTTAATTGTAACATTTCTAGGTTAACAGTGAATCGAATCATGACTGTTGACAAATAATCCATGTTCAAACATAAAATACTTCGTTTTTTAAAGCTCATTAAAAATAAACAACAAAAAAAGAGGAATTATGCAAACATATTTCAGTATTGAGACCAAAACCAATTAAAGAAACTTTATACACCTGAAATAGTTATACACTCTTTAATTTAATCTAGGACATTATATAGTTGCTTAAGAAATGATTATCAACTTCCGTCTATTTCAACACTCACTCAAATTACCTAAATAATTTCAAATATTCATAAAATCAAATTTATTTGTTCAATTTTTGAAAACAACGCGTCTTAATAGTTTTTAGAGTATTTTCTGAAAAGAACTTACGCTGTTCGTTTGCAGCATCCTGACATGATTCATAGCGATAATAAAGATAAATGCTATATTTATCAAAAAAGTTATTATTTGTTCGAAAACTTTAAATGTCAAAGCCATTAGTGCTGACACAAAACATGATAATCCTTTGAAGGCTGTGATCAACAATCATCACGACAACCGTTTAAATATAATACGACAATTTGATGATATGACACATAAAATGGCAGGTTCTTAAAGTAATCGTTATAAACAGCTTTCTAAAGATACAGCAGCTTGTAAGCATATAACTTGGTATGCGCTAGTAGATTTTTGTTGATATTTATTTAACGCTTTACAAAACTATGTTCATCTTGGTCAATTTATATCAGATCACCTGCATAAAAGAATATGGTATACATCGTCAAGGTTCTGGGGTACATATTTTCTTTGTAATCAACTAGTTATTAAAAAAATTACGTAATAAACATGCATCTTTACTTTTGAAATTTAATGTAAATAATGACAATTTAATTGTGAAGTCTGGTCAACAATGTACATTATGCCAATATAATTTGTCTGAAGACTGTTGCGAAATCTTCTATAACTGATGAAGTCAAAATGTCACTTGTTCACTTTGCTGGTTATGTTACACATAATTATAAAGAAAGAACTGGGTATGAACTTTTAGATCAAACAATGTTCTAGTATCAGAAATATGGTCAGTTTTCTAAATTTTAGATTTTGGTGGATTAAAAAATACAACTGAAAAATCGTGCCAATAAACATTTTTTTTCGTAATTTTTCAAAAAACTATAAACCATGTTTGCAAAAAATCTTTAAGTAATACTTTTACAATTGTATTAGACTATTATTTATTGAATATAAACAACATTTTTTTAAAAAGTTTATGTACCACTGTCACTCCAAGATATAGCAAAAACCTACACTAAAAGTAATAAAAATCTCTTGGAAGCCTACTAATTGTTTTCTATTCATTATATATATATATATATATATATATATATATATATATATATATATATATATATATATATATATATATATATATATATATATATATATATATATATATATATATATATATATATATATATATAGGATATTTATAATATAAATTCTATTTTATAAAAAATTTATAAAAATTTAATTTACTAGGGTTTTTTTTCTTCAGAATTTGTTAACAACTTTGAACATAATTTAATAATATTTTTGTAATTTAATATTA